TCAGGTCAAGGCTGCGGTGGCTGGGAGCGGCCACTGCACTCCAGTCTGGGCGACAGAGTGAGACTCCAACTCAAAAAAAAAAAAAAAGTATTCCCTTTCTAGAACAGCCCTGAACTCTCTGTGCTCTGGAGCCGCCCAACTCATTAACTGCTGTCTACTCAAATAAACTCTTTAACTTTTTAATGTGCCTAAGTTTAACACATATTTGTTAAATTCTGACTTGCTCATGGTTTGAGCTATTTTAAAGGTAACCTGACTTAGCCAGTGCACTTGTGCAGATAAATCTATGTTAATTTTTATGGCTAGGGCAAATATTTTTTTAAAAGAAGAAAAGAAGGAAAATCCTATGCTTTAAAGATCTTCCTGCATCTTCAAAAACATTTCAGAGAGGAAGAGTCTCCTGGGTTTCTTCCCACACTTGTGCTGTAATAAATTCAGATCAAGCACAAAGAGCGCGGTGAGTCAGGAGGTGGGAGGTAGAGGAAATGGAGGGTGCCTGGCTTCTGATGCCTGAAGCTCCATAGACCCACACCTCATCATTCTGCATCCAGATGGTGCAGGTAGCAGTGTTTCACTTGCTTCCCCTAACTCCTCCTTTCTTATCCAATCTAATACAGGGTGGGAACAAGGAAGAGCAAGAGGAGGAGGGAGGAGGGGAACATGGAAGGAGTAGGAAAACATGGAGGGAGGAGAGGAACATGGAAGGAGGAGGGGAACATGGAGGGAGGAGGTTACAGAGAGCTGACTCAGAGCTTCACTCCTCCAATAGCACAGGCTGCACTAGGTGATGTGGAGTGTTAAACGTGTGCAGGGACCACAAAACCCAGCCCAGTACCTCATCAGGGACCACACAGCTCGCGGGGTTGCCGGTAACCCACTGCTCTTGGGTTCTGGTGGTAGTGGAGGGTGGCAGCCACCCCAAGTTCCTTTGTGAGGGAACCGCTGCTGCTTCCCATTCTCCCGGTGAGGGTGGGCAGGCGGTGAGGAGGGCTGGGGGCTCCCAGGCTGCTGCGGGCTGCGCTGATGGATGACCCCGTTGCTCCTAATTGTGCATGGAATTGAGGAAAAACAAAGTCGATCAGAATGACAAGGCATGCAATAAGAGACAGCAGTCCCCTGTTCTGCTCCCAAGTCCTGTTCTCTGGAAACAACCATTCTTAAGTCTTTAGCTCTTTGGGTTCTGATATTCACCACTATACTTTTAAAATAACATAATTTTATTATTTCTTGTTTTCCATTTTCGAACTTACTGTATTGACTTCCTACTACGGAAAACTAGAACTCAATCTCTAGACTTGTACACATACACACATACACACACACACACACACACACACACACACACACACACGCCTCCGAGAATTTCACCCCTCATCATCCTCCAAATCTATTTCTCTCATTACTATTTGGTTGACGTGGTTATTCAGAATTTACATTATTTTGATCTTGAAAATATTGTTCATAGTTGAGCCATCCAACGTACTCTGGTTACATTTTCTGACATGAATCTGTTGAAATATAATTGATAACCACTGGATGGGCACAAATTTAAAAGTCTGATACTAGCAAGTGACTGAGAAGATGAAACGAAGGGGAGTCTCATTCACTGCTGCAACCATTCAAGAGGCAGGGCTTGGATGTCACGTGGTCAACATACATCTACCTTTGCCCCACAGCTGCACATCTACGGTTATGCCTCAGAGAAACCCTCATGGATTTGCAAAAGAACACATGCATAAAACATTTCACTGAAACATAGTTTATAATAGCAAAAAATGTTAACATAGCCTAAATTCCCAATTCAGAAGAATGGAGAAATTGTGATGATTAAATACTATACCCCAGTTAATAAATAAAACATAGCAATAGATATCAAAATTCTGTATCTCAAGAGACCAGTGCTAAATGAAAAAAAAAAGTGATACCATTTATGTAAAGTTTGAAAATATGTAAGATAATACTATTTGATATTCACTGATATATAGGTATGAAGTCATACCATAGAAACAATCATAGGAAATGAGAAGTGCCAGATTCAGGGTTGTGGTTATCTCTAGAGAAAAATAGTAGGGGCTGTGGCAAGGGAGTTTTATTTTCTAGATGTTGAAAATTATATTCTAATTTTTTTAAGAAAGAAAGTTAACTTCCAGGAACTGATCTTTCACTGAAAAAAATCTTTCCTATTAAAGGTGACATCGAATATAAAATATTTCATTCCATTCATGTGGCCCAATCTTTTTTTTTTTTTTTGAGTGGGAGTCTCACTCTGTCACCCAGACTGGAGTGCAGTGGCCGCTGCCCGCCACTGCAGCCTCGACCTGGGCGATCCTTCCACCTCAGCCTTCCGAGTAGCCAGAGTTACAGACATGTGCTACCATGCCTGGCTGATTTTTTTATTTTATTGTAGAGATGAGGTCTCACCAAGTTGCCCAGGCAGGTCTCGAACCCACGAGCTCAGGCAATCCACTCACCTCAGCCTCCCAAAGCACGGGATTACAGGCTGAGCCACCAAGCCCGGCTTGCCCAATCTTAAAATTTAGGAATAAACTGCTCTTCTTGAAGAAAAGTGCTTCCAACAATTGTTTCTGTTGCTGTTTCTTTCCTGCTGCCTGAATCACACAATGCAAGATCTCAAGAACCACCTAGTACTAAGGTGTTTATTCTAAGTTAGCAGATAAAGTGGGGGCTAGGGAGTAGACCCCTAAGTGTTTGTGCAGAACTGTGTGTCTGTGTGTGTACTATTTTGGGAATACAACTTTGTGAAATTCTCAAAGAAGTCCATGACCTCTCCACACCCCAACACTCAGAGCCTCTGAGCTGGCATAACTGTATCATGGTATCTGAGCATCAGATGTCTTGCAAGGTCTCCTGAGTCCCTGTTCTGAGTTTCTTGCTGGAGGCGGTGGTCTTTGGGGGGAAATCTTTGGTTCTGGAGCCACCCAGACATTGGGTCAAATTTTGGCTTCACTGGGCCTGGGTGACTGTGGGGAGGATACCTTCTGTGCCTCTATTTTCTTTTCTATAAAACGAGGATAATGGTTATTGCAAGCCAATGGCATGGCATGATGCCTAGCACATGGCCAGCCCTTAGGAGAAATTAATCATTTTTGCCCAGGTCTTCCTGTTACAGCCTCTGGTTCCTTCCTACCACTTTCCATGAGTATAATCAATTACTCATGTAACTACTAATGTAATGTTGGTCTCCCCCAGTATCCTACATGCTCTTTGGGGGAAAAAGCTTTATCTGTCTTGCTCTTGGTCAGGCAGAATGAGTAGGTGTTGAATGGATAGAAAAATGAAGGAAAGAATGAATGCCTCCACTTACGCAGCACTGCGGGGTGTGAGAACTATGAGTTCCTTAAAAAAAAAAAAAAACCCACAGACTATATAAGCTGTGGAACTTCTAACTAGGTATCAGCAGTATTATTCCTTCCACAGACCTTTCAGCAGTTTAATATGATGAAGGCTAAGAAAGATTATCAAAGAAAGAAAAGAGACAATTACCTCCTTTGAAAAAAGCCTGGCTCAATAGTGACTAGATGAAGAGGAGAGAAAGGAGTGCAGGCAACAGTGGACTGGAGAGTACCAAGACCAGAGGAGATACAACTTCAATGACAACATTAAAATAGCTCTGGACTGAGCCACCTAAGAGATCGCATCTGTCTTCAGTTGTCTTATCTTTTTGCTGTCAGTGAGGCATAGAGGAGGAAGCTAGGAGTAGAGACAAGGTGGATGCAAGAAGAAAGTGGAAAGCAGAAAAGGGTTTATAGGTTGTCTCTAAAAAGTAAGGCAGGCATTGAAATTATTCCCATTGGATGAGAGGAGACACAGGTAAGGCATCCTCAGATAGGCCAAGGCAAGGGCCTCTGGCTCACCATTTTATTAGTATGAGCTTGGGTCAAAGTGATAACTAGGCTCCTTCTTTTTACACATCTCTGAGATTTAACGAGAGCCAACAGACTGCAACACTCTTTAAATTACCTCCAACTATCAAACTCTCATGCAGAAAGGTGATCAGAATTTCCCGACTCATCTCAGTTTGTTGCCACTCAACATCACTGCTCTTATCTTTATGTCAACAAGTCTAAAGAGGTAGGAAGTAGGATTTTTTTAAAAAGCAAGATTTTTTCAAAGATAAAATTCTTCTTTGACAAGGCAGGAGAGTAAATCAGCCACATCTTCTAAAAGTTCACAAGTAAGGACCTTATAATTACTGAAAAATGGGGTCTGCTTATAAAATGGTTGGTAATTATGGATTTGATGGGGGAAGAAAATTATAGTACATGCTTGAGCGTTTAGAGCTTCTTAGCATCTATAGGCCACAGTATAAAATGAGTGTGCCTCAATTCTTAAAAATACAAGTGGGCTACTAAATAAGCTTGTTCTTTAAGCTGAATATGACGTGTACCTACTCGTGTATGGCTTAGATTGGCTCTTTGTGGAATCCCAAAAGGCATCTCCTGAACCTCTTAGGAAACATCATTATGAGAGCAGGCAAGCAGGCTTACTTTAGCAGTGCTCTTTGATGGATAACACTCATTCCAATGCAGAGATTCAAAGCAAGCTGTTAAAAACTGTTACCATTCGCAACCACTTCCCTGTGTGAATCAAGATTTTTCTCAGCAGTGTGCAACCAAAACAAACCAGCAGGATAATTTGCAGTTAGCACAGATACTATTCAATTCCAAATTTGGGGCTCCCCAAAACTTTACAGTCCTCACTGATTTTTATAAAAGTATATGAAGAGTTTATATATATACAGTGTACTTATCTTAAGGAAACAGACATTGATTAGATTATATTCCAAGTGAGATGACATGTAACAGTGTTACACTTGTATGTGTTTACATGAGAGTTTCAAAACTATTGTCTTAAGTAATTATTCTCTGCCCTTGATACACGGCTTGATACAAAAACTTTAAAAAGACTTACGACTTATCTTGCTTGTGGGAGAGGGAAAAGAGGTCATAAACCAAGCACACTCCAAACACGGTGACGCCTGTCTCTTTCACCAGCATTGCACAGGTCCCCAGAAGCAAACTGAGCAGCAAGAAGAAGGGAGAAGCCGTGGGAGGGAAGCATTCCCCGACACAGCCCTTACCCAGACTCCTGAAAAACAAGTTGGAAATTGTTTGTTTGTTTGTTTGTTTATGAGTTCAAATTTCACTCTGTCTCCCAGCTCACTGCAGCCTCTCCATCTGGGCTTAGGTGATCCTTCTACCTCAGCCTCCCAAATATCTGAGACTACAGGCACATGCCACCATGACTGGCTGTTGTTTTTTTTTATTAAACTTTTTGTATGGATGATGTCTCGCTATGTTGCCCAGACTGGTCTTGAACTCCAGGGTTTAAGCAATCCTCCAGCCTCAGCCTCCAAAAGTGCTAGGATCACAGGCATGAGCCACCATGCCCAGAGATTCTTTTAATCTAACAAGGAATGTGGGTTGCTAAGAAATACTACCTTATAAAGATAAGATCTAATGTCAATTTTTTTTGTATTCTAAGTAATTAAGTAAGAAAAGGTGTCTTCAAGTGTTCATTATAGAATTATTTTAAATTGCTAAGATGGAAAAAATGTCTAGCAATACTGAATTTGGTACTTAAATTATGGAATTATGACAAAATACGTAACAAATGAATACTAACGAAGCCATTTAAAATACTACCATAGAGACCTAGTTTGTAACATGGGAAGTTTCTTTTTTTGTTTTTGTTTTTGTTTTTGTTTTGAGTAGGAGTCTCACCCAGGTTGGAGTGCAGTGGCACACTCATGGCCACTCCAGCATAAACCTGCTGAATTCCAGTGATCCTTCCTCAGTCTTCCAAGTAACCAGAACTACAGGTGCACTACCACACCCAGCTAATTTTTTGATTTATTGTAGAGATGAGGTCTCTACAAGTTGCCCAGGCTGATCTCTAGCCTGTAGGCTCAGGCAATCCCCTTCCCTAGGCCTCCCAAAGTGCTGGGATTACAGGTTTGAGCCACCATGCCCAGCCAGGAAGATGTTTAAGTAAATTCATTTTAAGTGAATAATGACTTGCTAAAGCATATGCATTACCTCTGGGGCCAGGTTCCTTAGGTCTAAAATATTATAGGTCTGTAGTTAACAAACAGGGTAATATGGGGCTTACTTTGCCTCTCTGTGCTTTAGTTCCTTATGTGTGAAATGAGATTATATTGTAGGGAGAATTAAATAAATGACTTACTACATGTCAAGTGTCTAATATCATCATCATCATCATTTTAGTGAAGTCAATGAATACAAATATATACCAAAATATAATCATCATTTCACTCTGATGAAAATATAGCTATTTCTTTTCTTTTGTCTAATCTGTATTTTTAAATTTATTTTCCATGATGAGTATGTATTGGGTAAAGTTTACTTTTTCTCAGTTTCAAGGATTTTCAAAAACTCTCTGGTTCATTGTCAAATCTTTGCTTCACCTTATAAAACAGAACTGGCTTCCTGCCAAGAAACATCTGTTTCCTTCAGCAGGTTCCACACCCATTGGCTCCTACTTCTTTGAAGTAAAGGCCAATATTTCTGTAGTTGTAATGTCTTCTCCTTAGTGTTATGTCTTAGAACAACTGCATAAAATTATACACAAATCTGTAGTAGATAGGTGTTTTTCTATTGAGTACGTCTATAGCTTAAATTTCTAAAAGTGAGAAGGGCATGCACAACAAGCCTATAATAATACACAGACGTGGACATGCTGCAGGTCTAATCATGTTCCAAAATATATCAGCCACACATACAAAAAGCCTGAGAGAACACGTTTAAACTGAAAAAGTGAGCATTAATTCTATTCTAACACCAGAGTAAGCAGAAAACAATTAATTATTAAATTCTGGCTTATATTTTAAGCTTTCACAACCTTGTATCACATGATTAAGAGTGCAGCGGGAGGCTACAAAGCCATGTCCAGAAGACTGATACCACACTAAGAAAATGCTCTCAATGAAACAAAACTTCCTAAGACTTAATTCATTTCATTCTTGGCTCAAGGTCCTAATAGTTTTTATAAGAGGGCTTCTCAATCTCAGCACTATTGACATTTTTCTGCCAGATAACTCTTCACGGTAGGGCTGTCCTGTGTACTGTAGGATGTTTATTCAGCAGCATCCTTGACCTCCATCCACCAGATGCCAGTAGCAACTCTGCAGCTGTAACAACCAAGGATGTCTCCGATACTGTCAAATATCTCCTGGGGGCGGGGGGAGATGGAAGTAGTGGCTAGGAGAAGGAAGAAAATCAACCCTAATTTAAAAACACTAGATTAGAAACAGTGTTCCTCCAACAGAGTCGCTGGGATTTGTAAGATTATAGGTCGATGAACTGATCTAAATAAAGATCAGGGCTCACAAAGCTGTAACCAGGCATCTCTCCATGAAGCAGAGCAGCATGATGGACCTGTCCCCTTTTCCTGGGCCATGCTCTGAGCTGCCTCCATTCACATTCTCTATTTAGCCCACCACTTTGCCTACGTGGACATGCCACAACTCACGTAAGAATCTGATCATTCGGGGGTACAGGCACAATACAATGGGAAATTATTTTGTTGCTTTTCAGTTTCCCAAAGCAAAGAACTTCTGTATTCTGATGAAAGGAGGTGTCAATTGGAAAACTACAATTGAGCAATACTACTTTCTATTCAGCATTGTTATTTTAAGCTCTGAGCTACTTAGATGGGGATAATGAAGAGGAAAAACAGTAGGACCAAGATGAAAAGGAGAAATCATAGACAAATAGAGGAGAGTGCAGCATCCAGTATATTTTGGCTCAGAGCTAAGATTCCAAATTCCGTTTTCAGTCAGAAACTACAAATAAGAGGAATGAAGAGGCAAGAGCTTGGATTCCCAGCACCTGGAAGAGAAAATGGCTGAGCACTGGATAAGGAGAGTGTTTCACATCCCTAGTCCCCAGGAAGTGCATTGAAGGCCAGAAGCCTCTCTCCTCTCAGGCACGTGCTCACAGTCTGTATTTACATGGCATGGTCGCAATCTCAGAGAAGGAAACTCTTAGCCATACCTACCTATTGTAGGAGAGAAAGGCCAACAGAAACAGCAGACACGCTAACACGTCAGCTCTGCCAACAATCCCAGCCACCTAGGAAGTTTAAAAAAATAAAAAATTGAAACCTCAGAAAATTACTTTCAGAAAGTCTCTACAAAAACACATTACAGAAAAGCATGTGGTTTTAGATGAATGAAAGATGTAATGAAATAGGAAACACACTGTTCTTCAAATTCTATTATGTGACTACCTCTGATTATCATATATTTAACAATAAGTTATAAAAGGAAAAAACAGGAAGAAAGGGGAAAGATTTTCACATTTAACTTTATTTTTAACTTTTCTCCTATAGTCAATTCACAATATCAAAATTTATTCATTTATTAATTTATTCCAAAAAAAATTTTTTAGCAATAAGGATCAGACACTGTCAATCTGGGTACCAGAATGTTAATGGAGCAGAGGGTATTACAGAGGACTAGAAAAAAAGTCAGTTGAGAATCAATACTTTTGACAAGATGGGGAATAAGTTTGAACTCATGATTGCTATATGAGAGTGTATATGTGTGCGTGCGTGTGTATGTGTTTATGTGTGTTTCTTTTTTTTTTTTTGAGTTGGAGTCTCACTCTGTCACCCAGACTGGAGTGCAGTGGCCGCTCCCGGCCACCGCAGCCTCGACCTGCTGGGCTCCGGCGATCCTTCTGCCTCAGCCTTCCAAGTAGCTGGAACTACAAGTGCGTGCTATCACGCCTGGCTAGTTTTTGATTTATTGTAGAGATGAGGTCTCGCCAAGTTGCCCAGGCGGGTCTTGAACCCGCGGGCTCAGGCAATCCACTCACCTCAGCCTCCCAAAGTGCTGGGATTACAGGCTGAGCCACCGAGCCCGGCTTATGTGTGTTTCTTAATTCTGCTACTCAAAGTACCTAAAAGTATGATACCCCATATTAGTAAATAGTAGAGGGCCATCCTGGCACTAACCACAAGCCATCTCCCTGCTAAAGAGAAGACCAGCTCCTTGGAAAACTGACTGATACCAGGGCTGAGGCTGGGGAAATACAAGAGAAGCTTAGATCATCTTCTCATGTAAGAAAGTAAGAAAATGCTAAAAAAAAAAATGGCTATCAACAGGCACAGGAGCCAGCAATGAGGGGCTCCCACTGCCCAAATCTGAAACAATTTGAATATCAAAATAAATAAGAACCATAATATATTAAAAACCATTGAAAAAATAGAAACCCCTGAGACTATATTGATAATAAATACAGTCATGTACCTCGAAGCAGTGTTTAGGTCAACAACAGGCTACAACTCTGTGGTCACATAAGATTATAATAGCATATTTCTACTGCACCTTTTCTACATTTAGATCTGTTTAGATACACAAATACTATTGTGTTAAAATGCCTACAGTACTCAGTGAAGTAACATGCTATGCAGGTTTGTAGCCCAGGAGCACAAGTTATACCACATAGCCTAGGTGTGCAGTAGGCTATACCATCTAGGATTGTATAAGTATACCCTTGGTGTTTACACAGCAACAAAATTGCTTAATGATGCATTTCTTACAATGTATCCAGTTGTTAAAAAATGCATAAGTGTATATGGATGAAGTAAATGAATGGATACATATGTAAGCACATACATACATACAGCAAGCAAGTGAATGGGAAAGAAAGGAAAGTCCATCCTTCATTAAAAAGCCAGTTAATGAAAGTGAAGGCAGAAGTAGAGTTTGAAAAAATCATTTTGCTTCCAGAAGAGTGAAGACTGTAGGGAGTAAGAAGCATCAAAAATATCAATGGAGGCTAAACCCGGGGTATGAAAGTTTTTTGAAGTGCAAAATACTGGCATGGCTTCAAAGTGTCTCTTCAGTGATTACTTATTAGTTGGGAAAATAAAAATAATAATTACACTATGAAAAAAGCGTTACATTGCTTTTATGCCTTCATTAGGAAATCAAAATTAAAATAACCAACCCTGAGAAGGACACTTCATTTATGTGCTATTCTAGCTACAGATACATAACCTAATTATAATCTTGAGGAAACATCAGACAATTTCAAAATGGGGAACATTCGATAAAAATATATAAATAAATATTTATCATAAAGATAAAGTATAACAACTTTGTATGATATTTTATAATATAAAATTTTAATCACATAATTATTCTGATGTATCGCACATCGTGGCTCAATTATGCTATAGCTCATCATAATCTAATAAATCATAATATTGCAAATATTATATAATATTGACATAATATGTTATGTATTCTAGAGTTATATAAAATATTTATTATTTCTGTTTATATATTATAAATTTTAATATACTATATCTATTAAACATATATATGTTATATATTATATATTGACAGAATATATGATATAGTATGTAACCTTACATATTGCAATATACTAAGTAATGACATTTTATATTGTGTACATTCGACATAAATATTATATCATATTAAAATCTAAAAATTACGTCCTAGAAAAACAATGAAGACTGATAACTGTTTCAAACTAAAGGAAACTAAAGGAAACTAAAGAGAAGTTATAACTAAGGCTCTCAGTTACAGACAATATACAACGAAATTATTAAGGTGTAAAGGAGCATGAACTACGCAGCCTACTATCAAATGCTTCAGAGCATAACTATTTCCATATATTGAGGAAGAGTGACAAAACAAATGTGGCAAAATGTTAAAACTTAGTGGATCTGGATGAAGAGTATACAGCCATCCTCTACATTTTTTAAGTTTGAAATTATTTCCAAAAAAGTGTTGCTTCAGAAGAAGACTAAAATGGAAGAAAGGTGAGAGACAGATGACTATAAATCGTTATATTATTTTGCTGTTTAAGATGTGTGTGCATGTCTCTTTTTTTTCTTTTTAAATCTCAAATAAAATTTTCAGGAAAAAAAATGAGGTACAGTTTTTAAAAAAGGCTTCAAATAAAAGGTCACAGAAGAACTGGATGATGAGGAGCAGCTCCCAGGGGAAATACATAAGGCTGGAACACACACCCACAAACATCCTCACACAGTGAGTACACTTTGTATCATGAAGGTGAGGCAGAGGGCATAGACCATGCAGGGCCTGAATGCGGACCTCTCTTGCCATCTGAGTGAGACTCGATTGCGTTATCTCTAACTTCTGAGATCTGGTTCTGTTACCTTTAAAATATGTAAGTCCTTCCCCGCAATTTCCCCCATGCGATGGTTATAATTCATGTGATTATTAATATACGCACATACTAAGGGGCTGCTTGATAAATGCTGGTGCCTTTAATTCTCCCTTTTCCTCTCCAAGAAAGAGAGAGGAACTCAACATGAGATAGTTTTTCTGTATGACTTATGAAAAGCATCTTTTTACTTTGAGGCTTACATGTATGATATCTTAATTGAACTTTATTAGATCATCTAACATATCTATTAGTTTAAATTTAAATTAATTAAATTATAAGCACAAAGATGAATTGACCGCAAGTCATGTACTGAGAAAATTCAACTCCAACTACACCACAAGAATCCTGGATGTAGCCAAAGAATAGCATTGGCAATATAGACCTGAAAGCTGTTACCTAATGTGGCTGCTTGAACCACACATTGTTCACTGATTTGTCAATCAATATGGAACTTGAGTGCCTAATTAGGAAGACGGCATGACTCAAGTGAAAAAGGCAGTGGATGGTGTGGTGTGGTGTGGTGTGACCATCGTGTCAAGACTCAGCTCAGACTCACAGTCTGCAAAGCAACAATTGTGTACAGGTCACCTGTGAAGCCCAGATCTGCTCAGGCTATACCACCACCTCCCTGAGCACTTAGCTCAGCATCACTTGCAAGGCCTCCCTAAGGTTAAACAGAAAGTCCAGCTTGCCAGCAACAGTCTTGGGATAAGGCCAGGCGTGTGGGCACAGAGGGACACTCATCACAGCACAACTGATGTGGCCAACAGCAAGACGTACAAGCTGTTATTGAGTGTAGCAAGTTGGGATGAGGCAATCACAAGTAAGGCGAGCTTAACTAATGTGTTAAAGGTGCCCTGCAGTCCTGCTTCTTGCACTGCAGCCAGTTTGGAAGCAGCAGCAGCAGAGTGTGCCAACTGGATGTGCCCAGATATAAAGAATGTAGTGTCCCTTGCAGAGAAGCTCAGAAAGGGTGTTGAAATGTTTGTGTAACATTGATAAGCTCTCTCGCCAGTACAAACCACTAAGCATGCATTGAACACCTACCTATACCTATGGTGAACCGAGGTCTTTGGGGCAAAAGTTTCCATAACTAAAAACAGATGCATGTCATTAACTACTATATGTCTAGAGCAGTCATCCACTATGATTCAATTAGTCAGTATCTTCATGTTCAATAACTATGTGCTTTATTCCTGTTAACATTTTACAAGTGCCTTTCTCTTTGCCAGGTACTGTGAAAGCTAGAAGGACACAGTCAGCCTCAAGGAGTTTAACGTTTGGTGGGAAGTCAAAAGAGGGTATTAAATAAGATGCAAGAGAACTACATGCATCCTAAGAGGAGAAACTATTACCAAGAGAGGGATTGATTTTGACTACAGGATATGGGAAGGCTTCAGGGAAGGGCAGTTGTGACTTAAAGGATAGACAAGGAGTATTTCGGGAAGTTCAAGAAAGGGGACTGTGAAGCCTAGTTACAGAAAGGAACAAAAATGCCTTCCAGGTAGAGGATGCAAGAGTGTCACAGAAGGAGAAGTTTGAAAATATATGAAGTGGTTCTGGAAGGGAAGGAATAAAGTGATGAAGAGCATGGAGTTAATGAAAAGAAGGGAGAAGGGGCAATGGGAGGCAAGGGTGAATGTTAAGTTGGAACCAGATGAACTTGATTCTACAACAATAAGTGTAGGGTGCTGGAAAGTACAAAAGCAACTGATCAATATAAGTGAAAAATATATGCAAATGGCCACCTGTATTTTAGCCTCAAGCTACAGGTTTCCCATCACCAAAGGGGTGACTGTAAGCTGGGAACTGCAGCCTCTAACAAATATTCAAGTATTGAGAAGACATCAGTGAACATAATTGGACTGAATTCAAATAATGTAATATCCAGCTCTCCAGGCAAG